GTGGAATATCCATCTTATCTTTCTGTCAATAAATACGCAGCAAACCGCAAACACACCTTGCGGAAGTGTCATTTTTTCAGTCTAGCTGATGATCTTGAATATGCTACTGGTATTGGTATCAACCCAAATTGTTTCTTTGTTATTATATATGGGGTTGCAGAAAAACAAACAAACAAACAAACGAACGAACAAATGAACAAACAAACAAACTGTGCACTCACTATTTTGCACTTTTAAGAGTAAAACAACTAATAATAAATAAATAAATAAATAAACAAACAAATAAATAAATAAATAAATAAAAATTGAAAACAAGAAAGGTATAGAAGAAAACGTGACAAAATAAATGTGACAAGATAGCTATCTTGTCACAGCAACGCGATTTTACTCATCAGAACATGGAATGGCCTTAAGGCAATTCAGTTTCATAATCAAATACATACCTTGGGATATTACATAGCCGTGGCGATATGCAGATCACTGATTTTTCCCATTTAGACAAGCTTCAGTGAAGATGGAGCGCAGCCTCGAGCCGCTACCAAGAAATATTTCGCTTCACTCGACATTTCTGTGTAGGTCCCTCGGAAAAAACGGATATCAGACCGCTGTTATGTATTATACCTCGATAAATTTGAAATCTCTCACCCTCCTGAAATTTAAAATAAACTTTTCGCGGTCAACAATTATTATTTATCTTTTTTTACACTGAGTCATATCATACAGCGTTTTACTCCTTAAATGAATTGGGCATGGTTTGAAAAAAATGGAATTATTTGTCATTTAAGTCACATATATGCGTGCACAAATGTTTGTAAATCTATACCTTTTTTTAACGTAGATTGTGTTATTTACATGTAACTTTTGTCTGTCGGCTATCCATTCTTCCTCTTTATCAGAAATATCGTTGAAAATCAAACCTATATATTCCAAAATCGCCTCGTTGTCAGACATATTACTGAAAAGTAGAATTATTACTCCTGTGGACTTGCAATTAACATCAGTCCTGCTTTGACTATATTCCGAAACCACCTCGTCGTCAGAAATATAAGTTAAAAGTTAATTTATTTGTCCTGTGAGCTTGTAAAAATTAATATGACTATATTCCTGTCCGATGCTCCTTCATCAAAAACGTCACTGGAAAGTAGATGTTTTGCCTTAGGACCTTTGTTCAACTGCAATCCCAGCTACAGGTAGTTGCGGCTCAGCCCAGATTCACATGGTCAGTGTCTACGATTGATTGAACATTAATAAACACTACTCAAGCGGCTTGACCTTCAACACCAAGTAATCAGCAAAAATTGACCAAATTGGCCAGACGTTACGTATAAATTTCGCGGGAGATGAGTTTATTACATAAAGCATCTCTAGGGCGTGATATAAGTTCATTTTCATTCGGTTTAAATGTTGTTTTAGTATGAAATGCCAGTATTTTTTCTCGGTATGTATGTCAAATAATACACTGTCACCCTCTCGCGATATATGCCATGAACACATCTCACTGACACTCGAGGTATTATGGCATATTTCGCTCGGGTGACAGTGAATTATCTCACACATAACAGGAAATAAAGTTATTTTTATTCTTAACCTTTGGAGAACATCCCTGGCAGCAACATAGGGACCATTCCCATAGACACATCGGCTTACATGGATCGGCCCAACTCTGTTGGGACTCTCGCTAAGTCCAATCAGCTTAACAGATCAAGGACTTACAGGACAATAATGTCCTTGAACAGATTAACATGCCTTCTCCTGACATTAAGTAGAATACAGAAAAAGCTGGCAATTATATTAACACGGTGGAAATAAGAGGAGGTGTGGCGTTCAGTTAAGCAGATTGCACTTAGCAGAAGACCCCGCGGAGTTGGGTCGATACACTTAGACCGATGATGTGCCTAAAGGAATGGGGTCACATGCAATAATGAAATCGAGTTCTCGACTGAAGCGAATTTTAATTTGAAAAAAAAAATTAAAATGTGAACGGATAATAACAGCCAGGTTTTAAACAGTGAATCTAATTGAAACTACTGGGATACTCTGCAATTGATATGATACACATTTCACTCATTAACAAAAAGAAACAAAAAACTAGAAAATCGATAAGGAATACTGGAGTAATGGTCAAATGTATTTCACCCAGCTTTATTCATATCCTTTACCCCAACTAAAATTTGATCTTCAGGTCACCACAAGTTGTTCATTTTTCACCCCAGGAACATACAAAAGCGGCATGTTTTTCAATTTTTAAGTGATGTTTTCATGGCAAAAAGTTTAAATTCTAGTTAAGCTTAATATCTGTGCACGCGTTTTACACACCGCCCCGCCGCGAGGTGTTTGGCTTACCCCGTGTGAGAACCTCACAAAATCCAGTTTACCATTCTATGCCAGGGGATCAGTTTCCAATTTAACACGTGTGATTTACAGTAACAATTGTTTCAGTTCATTCACAAAAAAGTGCCCTTAGCTGTGTTTTGTTACGGACAATGAGAAAACAATGCGTAAAAAATGAACAGTTTGGGTCTGTTTATGTAGATTTCGGAGTGAAAATCAACCACTTCCCTTATGAACATGGGCCCGCAATGTAAAACAAGTGGGCGACACCTGTAAGCCCAATGGTTTACATTCCTGAACAGCAATAGCAAACAGCAAGGGGGCTAGCGAAAGGCCAAAATCCCCCTTTTTTTTACAAGATTTAGGTATTTTAAATTTATCAAAGTGCTGGCAGACCTTAAAAGAGGAAGGTACCACTCCATTTTATTATGTTGTCACCCCTGTTTGTTTGTTTGTTTGTTTGTTTGTATGTCTGTCTGTCATCAACATAACTCAAAAAGTAATGGATCGATTTTGATGAAGTTTTCAGGAACTGTCAGAAGTGGGCCAAGGAACAGATGTTTAGTTTTAAGTGGTGATCCGGATCAATAATCAATCAATAACAATAAAAATTGCTGCCTTGGCGGAGGTCTGCGCTCTCGGAGTGCTTTTCTACATGTAGTTGCTGTAACTATAATACTATGATAGGAAATGAATTTGAACAAATGGTGTTTCAGTAATTATGGTTTAAATTCACTTTATGATGCAAAGAATCCCCGTGCGTGATGGACCTGGGTACACTCCTACAATTCCCAAATCCCGTGTTGTTGGTTAAATTATTAGTTCTCGATATGCAAACCGTTAATCATTAAATCTATCAAAATCAGGTCTATATTATAGTACACCATACAACTACATAGTACTTGTAAAGAAAAAACCCAAACTCACTGAGATGTAAGATCTCGGACTGAAATAAATAATTTATTCTAAACACAGTTTCGACGAGCAGTAATACTTACAAAGAAAAAAAAGAAGAAGTTGATTTAGAGTATTATAGACAAATAAATATATGATACAATTTGACGTATAAAATGTTCAGGTATATGGCACTTTGTTACGCCGGGCAGTGACCCAAGCTTCCTCTTAGACCATGGAACTATACAATTGTTCATCTTAACACAATTTTTTCCCTGTATAATATGATCCCATAGGACTCTAATATCTTAGTTATCAAAATACGAACAAACGTTTTGTATATCACGTTCGAAGCAATAGAAATACACGGAGAAATTGATAGTTTAAATGTTAAGAATGCGTGTAAATGCAGTAGTTGACAATCTATTTTACACTCAATCTGGGACTCATAAGTGAAAGTTGTTTATGCCACAATGCAATGGGTATCATAAAAATGTAAATGATATATGGCACACTTCAGAAAACATTGTACAGCAATACATCGCCGCGTGTAATACCATGTAATACACAATAACTATTTTCTTCATGTCTCCGGCAGTAGAGAAGGACACTAATACTGATCATCTAATAAAACCCCGGTAAAATACTTCTATGGTAATTCCAACCCAATTGATTTTCGCTTATTTCTCTGTCTAGCCATAACAGTATTGGTATTTCTTAATCTTCATTTGGGTATCAGTTCGCACTCACTTGCCATTCAATTTGGCGCGTTACCAAATTTAAAAGAATCACAGCAGCCTGCCAGTCCAGTACTAATAAATTTCAGAGATCTGGCTTAGTGCAGAGGCGGATCGAGGATTATTTGAAGGGGGGTCTAGTTTTTTTCGTGGAAATGAAAGGCCGCTGATGCGCAGCTGACCCTCCCCCCCTCCTCCCCCCCTTGGCGTAGCGTCGGGGCCCGCTAAGGGCCCCAAGAGTTTTGGTATTTTAGAGGGCGAACGGTGCCTTTTGGTACTGTTTAGAACTATGATTCAGCTAATCACAAATCTACCTTCAAGAGGGCACCATTGGTGGGATTTTTTTCAGAAATCGAAGGGGGAGGGGGGGAGGGATCAGGACCCCTCTGACATCCCCTAAATGCGCCACTGAAGAGTGAACTGGCAACAGACGCTACTTCCTTTTTTCCTAGGGTAGTTTGACAGTTCTTGCTGATATTGTTTGTCAGCAACTACTTGAGATATAACCAACATCAACTACTTGAGATATGACATAACATTGGTAACTACCATAGTATATAATCACAATTGTTAGTTTTTTGTTATTTGATATTTGATATTATCCGTAATTTAATTTCGGCCGTTTGTGTGTGTGCGCGCGTGCGTGTGTGTGTGTGTAGTTGTTTGCGTATGTACATAATTGGCATTAATACTACTTAAAATGTTTCAATAAACAACCTGTAATACGATTACATGTATATATCAGAACGTTTCCCACAATCGTCTCAATCTAGAGTACTGACAATGTACAGCATCACGGCGAATACTACAACGCAATGCGTTACTTTCGTAGAATGCTACAAAGATGAACATATGACTTTTACACGGCGCTTGTCATTGTGCTGCCGATTGTAAAACATATTTTACGTGATGAACCCGAATATAATACCAAGTAACCAAGGTCACATTTTAAGGTTCGAAACCAATGGCACAGACGTACGATCACATAATGTCCAATATGTACATATATATGTGTACATGTATGATGATGGCTTAAGTAATGATATCGATGACATTACAGAGTATATATACAAAGATTAAAGCGTTGTCGTGTCGGGCTCACAGCTGGAACCGGAAGTCTTATCTTGCACGTGGACACCGTTGTTCAACTTGGACTTTTGTGTTGATTTTGCCAGTTGGATCTGGAAAGACAGAGACAATTTTTTAATATACACGAACGTACTCAACAAAAAATACTTTGGGTGATGAGATTACCGTTGTTTTCATTGTGTCACGTACTATTGATGGGCGGATAAAGGCCATCTGGGTCTTCCTGAAGACGGTAGATTTTCAAGTTTACCTTGACGGGTATGTAATTTTTTCTCTCGGAAGGTGGTCCAAAATGGAGGATGGATCAACAAAGTTAATTTAGGAGACTATCAGAAAATAGCTCTAGATCCACCCCTGTTATTTTCATCCTAGCTAAAATTAAGTTATCCATATTTTAACCAATTTGAAAGAAGGCGATATTTTTCTGATTGAACAGCATTTTGCTTTGTGCCACGAACTGAAAACACACCTAAAAAGCCTGTGCATACATACTTTAACAAACCCCTTCCCAGGAAAAGTGGACTGCACTTCTGTCTCTGACGTGTATAATGACTGTGATCTGCTAGTTCTACGGTATTGTCCCTTTCTCTGCCAGTACCTGTCCCAATGTTTGCTGAGTGCTTGGCGGACCTGCAGAAAATAAAGAAATTAATACTTTAAGTAAAATTAATGCACAGATTCAAATGTCATGAGTCAGTTTTAACCCCAATGTTCAAAAGACTTGAATCCAGAAGTGATTGTCTTGAGAATCTAGATTATCGCATCGTTTAATGTGGGTTCCCTTTTTAGAAAAGGGGGCAAGTGAAAAGTCGGTCTTAGCCAAGCCAAAAATGCTTCGTAGTCGACTATGGCACTCATCACAAATAGTGTTACGGAGCACTTATCTCGCTTTTTTTCTGTCTTTAAACTTAGTCTCGTTTTATCCATTTTGAAAAATACGCGTGTATTCACAATGCCGTCTTAGTTATGTCACCCGATTGCAGGTCAAGAGTCTAAAAGTCGGTGCCACACAATCGACTATATAAGTTTAGTAGTCTAAGATAAGCTCAAACCCTTAAATTGTTTTATGAAGCAGGCCACAGTACCGAGAACAAATAGTGTGTAACGGACTGCAGACGACTGTAGAGATGTGGAATTAGCAGAGTTCACAATTAAATTTAGCAGAGGGTTAAACTGTGTTCAAAAGGTGACAATGTACAAAAGTGTCCAGAAAAGCATGCAAGACAATCAAAATAAATTAAAGACAAATTAGCTGGCCCAGAAATCATATTTCATAAAGCAGCCATGATCAGCTTCACACAGAGACCTTGTGGATTTACCAGTACTGAGTATGTGCGGCCGGTTTTACCTATACTATATATATAAGACAAAAAATTCTATAACATAATGTATGGGTCACTACTTAAAGTTTCAATATAAGAATCCCAAATGCCCACAGATAAAAGATATTAAAGCCGTCATACCAATGCTTTACTCATGCACAAACAAACAAACAAACAAGTCGACATAGATTTGCTTCGGCCAACGCACACGCTGAGCTACCAGCGGAGCTACCGACTTCACGAGGCGACAGCTTACTTTATAACTCAAAGTGTGCGCCTAGTGATAGGTAGAAAGGAATGAATGAAAACAACAAGTAAATGAAAGGAAACAATGAAGAAGGAAAAGGAAAGAAGGAGAATGTAAAAGTCGCAAGGTTTGATTATAGGGATGATGCAACAAAAAGGAAATCGATACTTTTACGTAACGCTTTATGGGAAGCAGGCATTGCTGTCAGCCTTAAGGATATGAAGGTGAAATAAGTCCCAGGATCCTTTTCCATATATTGGATTAAAAGTGAGATTGCAGGCGTAGGACATGTATGTCAGGTAGAGAATAATGTGAATTATACTATATATATATATATAGTCCATATTTATGATGAATGGCAGGTAAAGTTATATAAAAAACGAGAAGAAACAACCCAATACATCAGATCGACTACCACGCTTTGCACAGAGAAAAGAAAGAATAAACACCAGAAATCGATATTTAGAAAGAAATATAATTGTACACAATTATATCAATAGTTTCTTATATTACCAAGTCGTTTTTCTCTGAAAACACAGATTCTGCATGCGAAGCACCATTACACAGGAAACGTTTAGTACGCATGCGCCACTACACCCAAGCCACTGACACGTACAACGACTAACCTTGAAGCGTGTATAATGCCAAGCGCGTGAGTTGAGTGGAGCTTCAAAACTCCACGTTGCATAAATAGTACAAGATATCACGAGACGCCTTCAAAAGGGCTTTGTGCACCTAAAGAGATGGCATTCAAAGTTATGGTAAGAACAGACTGAAAAAACACAGAAAGCAACGCACGCAAGCTAAATAGTGTCTAAGTCATTTACATATGATGCTGGCGTAAATGTGTGATAGATTATTTGCTCTACAAATTAATGGTGTCATGACAAAATATTAAGAAGAAATGACATATTGCACAAAATCGATGCGAGTTCAAAGGATATTCTACGATACATCCAAAATCGTTACATGATGTACGTAAACCTAAACAATATTCCATAGTTTCTTAGCGTATGCATTAACTGAAAGGAACGGTATGAATGACATCACGATGTTAATTTAACACGTGACATCATGCACTGTGACGTTACCCACCTCGCCATTTAGAAAGCAGTAGAACAACGCGACTAGGAATCCTTGAAAGGAGCTCAGTATATGAGAGGTGTAACTATAGACACCATAGGCAACGACTGTGTCACTTGGCGGTTTCACCATCCCCATGATGTTTGTTATGCCAAGCAATGGCAGTAACAAGATGGCGGCCTTTACGGCTTTTCTGTAAAAATGAAGTCCATTAATATAAGCTGTATCCAGTATTTGTGGTTTACAAAATCGTCATGAATACAGGTAAGCTTGAAAAAATTTAACAATCTTAAGATACATGTATTTAACCGTGGCGCCTTCTTTACATGGTGGAATTACCGAATTCGCATAAAATCTCACTTTATTTTCGGGTCTTTGTCATGTCATTGTCAAAGTTGTGCCTTCATGACTTTGATGCAGACCCAGACTTTAATTCAAAGCTGTTCTGAGCACCCCAATAAATGAAACAAATTAACTTTCCAAACTTTAACTATTTCAAAACAGTCTCTCTCTCTTTTGTCAGAACCATGTTTCTTCTCAGAGCAGAACACTGATAGACAAAACAGCAATAAAATATAGCAAAAAGTACGAGCTGATTAAAGCATTACTGTGTATTTTGATGTGGAAAAAACTTGAATATTATTATAGCTCCTTAATTACCTGACTTGCTCCGCCTCTGAAGACCGACTTTCCTTTAGCTTGTTCACCAGCACACTTATTATGATCACCAAGAAGGTGAGATTGATCTAAAACAAAGAATAACATTTGGCATGATTGTGAGATTGATCTAAAACAAAGAATAACATTGTGCATATCTGGGTACTCTACACTGAAATTTCAGAGCACATGTAATCCCACTGATTTTAATATTGTATGAATAATTTAGTAAATGGATAGGTAAACGCATGTATAATACAACAATGCGCATGTTGGTGCTTTGGTAGCATGCGGAACGGCGCTTTTTTGACGTCATGTCGATATGACGTATACCGTTGTACAAAGACGTAACGCTGAAAGTGATATATCAGCGAAATTAATTATTGTTTTCCCATTAGATAAAATAAACGCATGCATACTCCTGGCGTAATAAGTCGGAACTGCGTGCATTTACAAACATCAGCGACGGGAGAATGGTGATATTTCGTTTTGATTTAGTAACGCACGGTTAAATAAAACGTCACTTTTTCACAAGGAAACATGTATGCATAACCGATAACATATTTTGTTCATGAAAGGAGAATTTGCCATGCACCCCAGAAAAAGCACCGCAGAAAAACTGCCTGAATGCCAAACACGCTTCTTGTTGTCCAGACATTCCACCTGCTTAGCAATAAACCACGCATTAAACACCTCTATCTCATTTCCTGGATGCCTTATTTGTAATTCAAATTCTTCCGAGAAAACCACAGTCACGGAATTTATGTTCCCAATTGTGTGAGAAAAAACGCTGAAATGATTGCTATCTCTCAACAACAACTGCTGCTGCCTCCTTATTAACCTTGCACAGAGGAAACGCGTGCCACTTAGGAGGTAGATTTATCAACAAAGGCCGGAATCGGATCAAAGGTCCATTATTTCATTACCGATGCAAACCAACGCTGCGTCAGATAGATGAAGGTTTTATGAGCACGTGTAGTGATTAATATTTCCTAGCTGATTTCATGAAGTTTATAGTTCCCGGTACAGCTACTGCACGTTCACTGCGGAGAATGTATATCTTGTACATTCTGTATTTCACATTTCCCATCAGCTCTGTTTATCGAAGTTCATTCTTTGGCTTGTTTAATTTATTTTGAAGGTTATGTAATCCTTAAGCTTATTATTTTGACAAGTAGCCTAATCCAAACGTTGACATTAAATGGTGTTACAATGCACGGATTTTACATGTTAAATGCTGCAATTTTAACTTTATCTGACTTGCTTAAAAATAGATAGACACAAGTTAAGTTTCTTAGTCGTTGTTATTAAATCCCAATTTGACTTGCGTTCTTTTGTCTTATATGTCCCAAGAGAAGCATATTCAGCAGAAATACGTGCATATGCCCTTTAAACACATCAATATCTGAAACAACTGCCTTGAAAACTTACCGCAAATATAACCAATCGTGGCCCCTGTATGATCCAGTACGTAGTCAGAAACTCAATACCCAACCAACACCTGCAACGAATGTGACATCTTATATGATTGGTTGAATGAAAATGCCACGCGCTTTCCTGGCAGACGTTGTATAGCCCCAAGACAGTTTCACGTACATGTGTACAGTGTAAATCATAATTCGCAAATAACGTAGGGCATATTTACATGTAGGTCTTTTTAAACCTCTTTAACAAATGGACATTACAATATAAAGCAATAGGCATAAACTACGTGCGCTTTAGCACTGCACTTTCTCGAAAATATCTTGTTCTGTAATATAACAGCATCACTTACGCTTCTTCCAAATGCATTACACGGAGGAGTTGGAAGTGTACTAATGCCGAAAATATTACTACAGTAACTGTTTATGTCGTGCTATAATATTTCCCATTTCAGAAAGCAGTCCCAAAATAAACGGAATAATTACAACGTGTATGTATGCTTGTAGCTGCTCGAGTTTACTTAAATCAGCTTTTACGGAAACTGCTAAGAGATTTAAATAGCACAGAAAAAAAGCCGAAAACTCTGTTCAAATGCTATTTTCAGGAATTATTAAGCGCTATTTCTTTAAGTTATGCTATTTTAATCTATGTGGTGGTATTTGGTCGGGTTTTATAGAACAATATTTGACTTTATGTGCATCTTTGACTTACCCTTCTGTTGGCGGTAACGTCACAGCCACCGTTATGACCCATGGTATGGTAATGATGAGCGGTACCCCTGGGGAATAAAGGAAAATATACAGTTACTCCTCGGTTAATAACCAGGCTTCTCTGTACATGTAGTAGTAGGTGTATTCTGGGTGTTATGTCGAGCGTTTGATTTACACAAATTAAGCACAGCTGGCAAATGTTCTAAAAAATTACATGTATAGCAGATAAGAATAAGTATACATGTACAGTGAAATAGTGGCATAATTGACTATAATTGAGAGCAACTTTTTCAATGAATTCATATTTTTACTCTTTGAATATCCACATTCTCTCTCTCTCTCTTAAGTATACAAGTACAAGTATAGTGAAAAAGTGGCATAATGGAGGATGATTGAAACAAATGCTTTCACTGCATTCTTATTCTTTCTTCTCTCTCTCTCTCTCTCTCTCTCTTACCCCATCCTATACAGTGGTACAATTTGAAATTTGGACCGTCTGAGAAGACCGACACTGTGATCTGGTTGTGGAGGTAAAGGCCCTCAATGAACATCCACATAAACATCACCGTCCACGTGTACTCCATTAGGATATACAGGGCCTCGCAGACGACCCGCTGGAAACGAGCAATTAAAATGATGAATTGTTATATTAAAATGATTAAATGGATCACTGTAATGTATAGAATATAAACATGTACTGTTTTTGAAATAAATCATTTTTCAGGGGAGGTGACGAATGTTTTAAAAGTATTAAATATAAAGTTATTGTGAGTACTACTATTACTTAGTATTTTCTGCGAGTTAACAAAATAACGTACGTTAGATATATTGGCATGAGAACAGTCAGCATAAACCTATTACAAAAACATCTGCATGTACTAATTCTATGTTTTAAAAACATTAAAATTTAACTCATTGTGAGTATAACTAAGGTATTTTCTGTGATTTTACTTTGTAACGCTGGATAAATTGCCATGAGAACAGTCTGCGTAAATGCATTACAAAAACATCTATTCATTCTCTGTACCGTATCTGAAATTGTCCCTGACGTTCCAGCGGCGGCCCCCGCAATTTCTCCCGCCACAAGACGAGCCACATACTGGTCTATGTACAACACCAGACGACACAGGACCTGGATAAGCATGGCGCTGAACAAGTTCACGTGGATCTTTGTGCGACTGCATTTTAAACTCCTGCATCAAAATAAATATACTGTTGAATATAGGTATTCTCGAATCAAGAAATTAGGATTAGAGATTGGGTTTTTAATAAACGGAATGGTGCAGAAATTGTTTGGATGTATACAGAAGAGCTATTAGTTCTTGATTTAAATGAGATCAAATTATGTTTGTTTCCACCTTTAACTGTACATATTTACTCCTTTGAATAAAACACAAGGAAGTTATTACATATAGCTATTGTATGATATGCGTGAAGCTGACTACGATGAAATGGGTTTTGTCATTGCATGGCGACAACTTATTTTCGCAACGTGTGGAATAAATGAGCATTGAAACAAACCAGATCGTAATAATTGGATTCACTTTTTTGCTCCAATTATATTTTCTAACGTGAATTTTTACCAAACATAAAAGTGGATGGCTGTATGCAATATTGACTAAAAAGTTCAGTCACCTGAAATATGAGAATATGAAGAGTGAGACTGCCAAGGCGACCAGAGAGACGGCCAGTCCGGCGACCTCCACGGCTCTCGTGTTCTTAGCGATTTCTTTCATAGCCTGAAATGCAGATACGACAGTAATAAGTCTCAGACCATTTATGTGAAACGTAAGCTCGGGGAAGAAATCAGTGCAGCTTAGTACGTGAATATTTTTATTATTAAATTTATTGACACACTTTTCCTCATCGTAGCATTACATATATAAACGGTTGTACCTTGATGACATGCACACGCACGCACGCACACACACACACTTACACACACACACACACACACACTTACACACACACACAGTGAGAGAGAGAGAGAGAGAGAGAGAGAGAGAGGGAGAGAGAGACTCTAATAACAAATAATACCAGGAAACCGCATAGCGATTTCCGTGTATAATATCCCTGTCACAAATGACTTACTATTCACCTCCGGAGTGACATTCATACCATGCGATTATATTGGATTTTATTGTCAAACCCGCATGTGCCCATATCCTTTGGGGGAGAAAATGCGTGCAAGATCATAAAACCCTCACAAATACCAATATCTGATTCAAATTGTTGTGCTAGACAGATCTGTAGATTTCTTGCTTACGCACCATTCTTTCCTCGGGCGTCTTCCCCTCCAGGTAGGCTTTATAGGCCTCGTAGCCTGTCTTGTCATAACAGCCGAGGTAGTCCGTGTAGCCCTCCCCGTTGCTGGACGTTCCTTCCCAGTGTCCTGTGATTGTGCAATTTCGCGTGGCATATTCTGGAAAAAACGTGGTTTGTTTTATGGAGTATATTTTGAATTGGTTCCTGTAATTTAGCCCATTGAACTGAATAACTCTACGGAGCAAATTTTGAAAAGAACCAAGTTAGAGTTTTGTGTTTATTTCCAATGTTTGGAGCAATACACCATGGGAACGAAAGGCATAGAATCACCACAACCCGTTTACAGAAGTGTTATCTCACTAGGGACTATTTCCAGTATCATCAAACACCATATAAAGAGAGGGGCTGTAGTTATGGTAGTAAAACTTGCAAATATAGGTGAAAAGCAATAACGGCCCTTGCTATTGAAAATAAGTCAATTCATCAAAAAGGGGGCTCGGTGATTTTGTATAAAGCATGTCCTGGCAGACGTGCGTTTAAACATCTTCTAATCCCTTGCACACATCAAGAAGAATTACTTACTATTGGTATCCAGGCCTCTTAGTGGGGGGCAATATTGCCTAGCAACAGTTCCAGCAGGGGTGGGTGGCCAACACAATATGGTGTCGTAAGTCGCGTTGCAGTACTGTCCTGCAATAAATCGAAAACATATTAGAACACTGAGCAATTAATGTTGGGTTAAAATCAAATAGTCATAAATTAAAGAACAGGCCAATAATTCAAGCAACGCGGTGGGAGTTAATGCTGTTTCTTTCAACTAAAACGCTTTGAACCAGACAATATCTGCGGAAACATATTAGGTTTCTTGGAAAATGAAAAACTGCAATATTACTTTGAAAAATTGGGTCACAAAATTACATAATTTCGCACGTATTTTACGCATGTCAAAAACTTACATTCACTTAATTCACTTAAAGTATAGCGTCTACATACTGCAGCTTAATAACGCTACCAAGTAAAACTGCTAATAGAATTGTGCAGTATCGTTAAGTAAAGCCTTTACTATGTGGCAATTTTGTATATGTTTAGTACCTAATAACTTGTCAATCTAAAAATTGGGGACTTTCATGTCCTTCGTGAAATGAGAATACATTGAAAAGCTCCTCCATTAAATATGATCAATCAATTTTAATGAAAATGCTCTGCTATTTTCCTTTGGCTTTTAATTTAAGGAGTAAGCACCACCATCAAGCTGCGTTTGGTCATACAAAAAAAAAAAAAAAAAAAAAAAATTGAACGCACATGCAAAGATTCCAAAGCGCAAACCCTCACTGCAAACTTCAGAGAGGTTGTAACAACATGAAATCAAATTTGTAATTGTAGTGGATTCAAACTCAAACAGTTTAATGTGCTGAAAGCGGCACATTTTGGTGCCTAATGGGCGATTTTCTGGGCTATTAAATCGGCTTTCAGTAAAGATTAGGTTATTCTATGGAACTGGTTTTTCTGTAATTCAATAACTCAAAGGAGGAAAGAATAAAGTTATTTAAAACGAGTGCTCAAACACACTTCGGCGGTTTCTATCAGTGCTGAAGATCCGCCAAGGTATTTCGAACTTCTGCAACAATGAGGATATGGATTCTTTTCAGTTCATTTTAGGTGATAAAATTACCTACGTTGAAATCGCGTGGTTTGGGCGTGTTTTGGGGATACCTGCAATGACAGGGCGGATCTAGACAGCTGTCTATTTTCTGGGAAAACTAGCGCATTCTAAGGTATCAAATATATCGTGTGAACGAACTCTTTACTGCATATGCATGAACTTATAGAACTGGAATCATATGATGGCCTGACTTGTCACGAATAAAGATCACAAAGACATAAGTGCAATAAGGTGAAGAAACGGTATACCGTTATTTGTAAGAGAAATTTAGTTTTTCAAGTGGGCTTTAGTCTTGGGGTTTACACATATTTTCTTAAGAAGTCAGATTTTACCTGCAGAATGCAGAACATTTTTTTCATGACTAAAGATATGCGTTTCGTACCGAAAGAATGTAAGTGGGTTTTTATTATTAAGTCAGGGATGAAACAGGGAGTGAAAAGCAAGGCACGCACCTCACTCTCTGAGCAATTATCGACATCTTGCGAGGTCGCGGCGTGAACTCAGCTCTCTTGAAGAACAATCACTGTCAGAAGTTATTAGCACTCAGTTGGGAGGTTAGGCAGTGAAAACACCACAGGACTATCAGACATGTTCCCCTACATTTAAAACTCGTAAGACTCTTAAAGCCACCCTACACTGGACGGCGTCCTTTCTTCGTCCCGTACGTACTACGACCCTGTTTGAGAGTAAATAAATACTTTAAGTGCCAACAACTTGCCAATCACTGAGCATTTATTCTGCAACCAACGTGATGCTTGTGCCTCCTATCTACGTCTACAGCGATGTCAGTTTCATGGTCGCACAAAGGACGCAGAAAGGACGCCCTCCAGTGTAAAGAGGGTTTAAGGAGGAAGCAGTGGGTAAAAAACATTATTTTTCATCTTGAATCCCTGAGGCCCATAGTAATGACCAAATGAGTACAAAAGTTCAGGTTTGGATATCAAAAATGGAACAAAATCCTTGTAACACTACAATGTATAACACGGTATGGTTTCCGGCATGTACAAAATTCGATCAAATAGCTTTTGTAATGTACTCTAATGTACTCGTTTAATAGAACGTTAAGTTGTTATCGTTATTCCTCGATAATATGTCATGGTGTGGAGAAACATATAAGTCAATCATTTAAGAACTCAAATTAATCTACCAGGGTAGTGCTTAATTGCCTTTTGGTCGTCCTCACTGTCATTTACTGTCAGAACCTATAACGAATTGAGAGCAGCTTTTGTTAAAACTAAATTTTCTAATTGTGACAAAAAGTTAAATGCTGGAATAACAGGGGATTTTATCCAGTCTTTTCATTCCTGGAGTAAACAATCTAATTTTTTCTCCCTTAATTGTGCTTTTAAAGTCCAACGGAACTCAAATAGGACGAGTTTTACCAACAATTGCATTACGTCGGGACTGATTTTTCGGGAATCGAGCAAGTAGCGAAAAAGGCTTCTGAGACAACTTCAACAATAAGAGAGATAAGCAGAAAACCACCGTTAACCTTAATGCAAAAACCAGCCTACTTCAGTTCAAACTTAAAGGGATAAAAACTCTTCATTTTAAGGGGGAAGTGCACTATAACGGCTTTTCCCGGGTTGAACCATACTTTCCAATGGTAAATGAATCCGTTCTGATATTCATATTTATTAATTGTTTTTTATTCATTACAAAATGGTTTTGTAATAATCTCTTAAGATTATTACGAAGTGTAGCCATCTTTGAAGGTACCCGTGGCCCGATGGCTAGGACAGATTTTAGAATTGCGACAACCGTCGTTTTGGTGGTATTTTCAAATTAAAAATAGAGGAAGTTTGAACTCACTTGATTATAATTGAGCCTGATGCTACGACAAAAAAACGAAATAGTATGCATGTATGTGGCAAGCCCATAAATGATTTCAAACCGGCGTGATTCTTGCTTTACTGCTGATGTCCGGGAATATTTATAAAGAAGAAAACCTAAGTGAATGACCATACTGAAATTGTATATATACAAATCACTTCTAGTCGACCTTATACTGACTAAGTCAATTTGCTTGGTGTGTGGGGCCGAGGCCGCTTTGGGTTGCCTGGCCTCGGACTTAATCGGAGTGTACGCTCAAATGATGACTTTACATTGCCCCTTTTGTTAAATGGTGTTTACATAGTGGTTAGTGGCTACTAACGGCTCCTGTACTGGCAGAGTGGCGACCACCTGCGTTTTAATAAGCATGGGCATGGGCAGAGAGAGAGAGAGAGAGAGAGAGAGAGAGAGAGAGAGAGAGAGAGAGACGTGTGTGTGTGTGTGTGGGGGGGGAGCGGATTCAGAAAAAAAAAAACAATAAAAATATACACAGCAAAGTCACACTAGTAGAATATTGTATGGTTATTATAAAGAAAGTAAGCTACATGTACGCATATGACAAAAAGACGAGAAGCAACATCATTCTTACAAATATTTTAAGGCACCGGGTGCCTAAGACTGGAAAACTTTCCGAGTTCAAATCACTTCAAACTTTTACACATGTGGCGTGTTACGATTGAAAGAGCAACACAAACACATTAGTGTCGGGCTTGTTCCTGCGCACACATGTTTTGCAATCTTAGTTGAATGTTACCCAATAAAGGTTATTCTGCCGTCTTTGTAACACGATCAGTTTCATTACCATTTTTTTCTGAATTTAATATAACATTGAGTTGCGTGAATAGTTTTCGATATTAATCAAGGTTATTTTGTGCCACGTGTCTTAATTTCCGCAGTTTGGGTAATTTCAAATAATCCCCTGTGGATTGCGACGATCACACATTCATGGCCCTTCTATTTTGCTATAAGAAGGGACCTTTTCCATTCATTAGTTAATTTATTAACTAGTGCGGTGTACCACAACGAAACTGTTGCAGATATATCAGCGCCAATTATCCCCCTAAAAAAAGAATATTCACCAATTTCGTTATTTCGAAATCACTTTGAAAACGCGGGTGCGAGCAGTATCGCAAAAGATGGAAAAACCCTGTAAAAGCTTGGTTCAACCTGGTGGTATGGTTAATTAACCACTGTCATCGTAGTCCTCGATCATGTCGATTCCACTTCACCGGAGGCAATATGCATTAGACTGTCATCGTCACGAAATCTTTGTATAATGTTAATCGCTAGGGGAAAAACATACATGTACATTGTATCTCTTACTTAACTGACAATAGCCGTGGGTAAAACGTATATACTATATACTTGAGACATGCTTCATGTGGGGAAAGGTCAGTGTTAAAGCAAGTCAAAATGCTTAAAGCAGAGGGTGCCAGGTGAACAGATTGCCAGAAACTAGACAATTGACTCCTTCGCATAGCCTTGTACTGTGCCCTTAAGGCACTTGTATAGTTATATATCTGCATTGTTATATATTCAGTTTGCATGTTAATACCTTATATGTGGCCTTTCCTTAGTAACCTATATGAACGTTACAAGCAGACCAAGGGGTTCATGTTTTGCATGCAGATTATTGCATATACCCTAATCAGATTGGAAATTTATCTTTATTAACTACATACGTATATATTCACACTTTTTTCTTCGTCTATCTATCTCTCTATCTGTGTATCAAGTTAATGTACTCGTATTGCTGTGTAGGTGATTCCTTATCTGACGTCCGCCAGACTACTATAACTTGGCAACAGAGAGGCTTTAACGAGCACCGTAATTAACGTGTCCTCTTCGTGCTCTTCTCCAGTCTTTGCCGAGAAAACGCATTAAAGACAGCGGTTCGGAAGTAGGACTTAGGCAACATAGGTTAATGCGACTTTATATGTTCTTAGGTAGGGTGAATTGAAAAGGTGCTTGAATTATCTGTTGCATAAAGAATATAATTCCTTGCGATATGCTAGACTAACGGTAGCATAAATGGCAAATTACTTAGACAGCATAGCCAGAGACGAAATTGCATATCGTTTTTGCACGACCCTGAAGTCGATGGTTCTCTTGGGGTATTTTCATCATGCCTAAAGACGTATTTTGACGCAACATTAGCTGTAAAGCTAAATTTCCATGGTCTCTGGGGGCTATCTAGTAATAACAGACTAATGTTATAATACTGTGACAGTGGAAGTGGTCGCAGTAAAAGCCGTTCTGTCTAAATCATTGCATCCCCTAAGGAATGTAAGAAAGATGTCCGCATTTCTGACAGTGTCACGTAATCGCTTATCTTTCAAATCAAGGCAGATTAACTAAAAGTTGGTCGGTAACCGATGCCTATCGTAGCGTAGATGGCGGGTGACTTTAATTTGTCTTTACTATTTGATACCTTGAATAGAGTCAATATATTAAGAAAAAGTACATGAATTAATGGCATCCGATAGGGCAATTCAGATGATGTAATGCCTAGCTACCTACCTAGTGGTGTATTTTTTGCAATTTGAAAACTGTAGAAAAAAAGATGAAAAACTTTGAAAATAACCTACCTTCCGACTTTATTATGATGTGAAAGAAACCCCATTATATTAAGCCTCGCATGGTTGTATGCTGTTAGTCCGATTTTCGAGTCCCCTTTGATCAATAAAAGGCATTCTGATCTTCACAAATATCTTCGAACACTGTTATATTGGTGAAAAAAAAGCCAACCTATTCCACGATGAAGAGAAAAAGCACCCAAGAAAGAAGTAAGCTAATCAGTTAAGGGTTTGTATCTTTGTAATCTTAGAGCGCATTCTCAACGAATTAAGCCAGGCTTTACAAAGCCGGTGACCTAAAAATGGCGGACGTACATGAAAGAAAAACCGCCTAATCTTTTAATAGTCTCTCCGCCTCTCACACGCCTCCCCACACGTCGTCCCTGCGGGGTACAGTAATTAAATCCCGGCTCCGAACATTAATATTTCCGTGAATATCTCTGGTGATATTATCTCCTTAGATAGTCGATTCATTGCTGCTCTACGGGCCAAATTATTCCTTTTTCGTCTCTGTTTTCAAAGATAATAGAACAGAAGAGCTTTTTTTTTTCGATCGCCTTCAGCCGCTATGCCTTCTTCACCACGAGTTTAACTGATGAGCATGCGCACTTAATATTTCTCAGGTAGCTTCCGCATGGCGAACGGAGCCGAGATTTAATTACTGTACCCCGCAGGGACGACGTGTGGGGAGGCGGAGAGACTATTAAAAGATTAGGCGGTTTTTCTTTCATGTACGTCCGCCATTTTTAGGTCACCGGCTTTGTAAAGCCTGGCTTAATTCATTGAGAATGCGCTCTTATTAATGGCAGGGCCAGTAATTCCCACCGTGTGTCATCTAAAAACAACTTGACTGAAAACTAGCAGGTGAAACGGTCAAGTGACCGGTCAGTAACGCCAGGCTTCATTGTAACACACAAAAACAGCTCTTACATGGGCAATGATATATAAAAAATCACTGACAGCACCCATATTTCGCAATCAGTATATATATATACTTGTTATATTTTATTATATCCCATATACATATACCGTATTTACATTTAACACATTATGTCAATTACGACATGGTAACCTTTTTAATACATATATTTTTTATATTTTATTTCTTTACTGGGTATATAATGTCAGTCTCCAACTGTAAATTCTGTTGAAATGTTCTGAATAAATGAAGGCCCTTTTACTGAAAACCCCCACTTTGACTTAATTTGACCTAATTACTTTTCAGCTACAAAACAAAATAGCGAGAAATCGTTTATTCCGTATGTTTTGATGTATATTATACAAACCCGGTATATATTAATGCACTCCCCGTTGACCATCGCGTACAGTTTAACAGACGACAAACCTCAGTGAAAGCCCCAGAAGATTCCGCGTCAAAATATCATCTGATACAAAACACACTGACAACAGACTGTGTGAAAAGGTTAGCAATTAACAGCCATATACTGCAGTCATCAGCAGATCTTCCCTGTGGAGTTAATTTCAATGAATTGGCCATCCAATGTGACTTATTGTCTCAAACGAGTCCAATGAAGTATGTTTAATTTGTAAAGGCAAAAACCTTAATACTCTTGGAAATTGTAACAATTTTCCTTTAATCGATCATCAAAATGTCCCATTCCAAAGCCGTTTCCAGAAAATTGATCCATGGCTTCATTTTAAAGTGCTTAATATTTGGTTTTCAAGCTACTCTCGTAATGAAGAAAGATATTGCTTGATTCCAGTCGGGAACGTAAAAACAAAATGTTAGAACTAAAAAAAACGTATCTATAAATAAAGATCCTCAAAGGCTTCAAAGTTTGATGACAAAGAAAATTCTCAGGAGGGCTAAGGTTTGTTATTGCTTTACAAACGCTTGACTCGCATTTGATGCTTATAACAGGGATGAGTAAGGGTCACAGCTCTAATACAATGTGACAGAAACGTGTTTGTCAGAAACACAGATAAGGTGTATTTGGTGGCGAATGAAGTAAGATAAAAGCAACCAAGTGGTTTAAAAATTGTCCCGTTGACAGAGAAATATCCAAAGACTGACTATCACAACTTGATGTTTACACGTCCTATAATATCATATATTTTAAGAAATTAAAAAAAAATCAAAAGGGAAAAAACACAACATAAGCAAATATGGCTTCGTAAGTCTGAACTTGCAAGCCTGATAGAAAACTGCGATATATGCCACCCACATAATCCCAAAACCGTTTGTCTTTAATTTGTAACATTGCTACATTAATTAAGGGGAAAATCTTAACTCCGTTTGGAACTACATGTGCATCTCTGTTATAAACAACAGAGGTCAAAATTGTCTTAAAGTTTCATAACTGTGTTTACTAAAAGAGAACCCATGCGCAATGATAAAAGTGATTCCATTGGTGCGACAATTGTTCATTATAGGTATCATGTAAAAACATTCCAACAGCTTCATGACGCCGTCAAAATGACGTCCAAAATTCGTCTCCTCTCTAGAAATAACTGTAATATAGGAACTTGACTGCAGTGGCACTTATTTGCGTAATTATTGAATGATGTAAGATGAACAGCAAAATATACGACAAATACCCACCTTTAGGTAAAGCTGTTCTGGCATGTTTCTGTACGCACTCTTCCATTGACGTGATCTTCTGCCAACCACCTGTCATCCTAACAGAAACGCTTTCAAACCGTGCCACTCTCTTTAAAAGCCTTCCTGAAACACAAACAATATAATTAAGATCCCTTGTAATGGCCATCATTTATGTTGTCCGTTCCAAATAACTTGATGATTTACTCAATTATTACCTCATCCAACAGGTGCTCGAAATGTTGGTCTAGAACAATTCAAAGTGTGGCTGTCACCATTAGCCTCAGATGAAAGGATAAACCATAGGACTGCCGTCTCTTATATATGCGGAAGTGTCGCGTCTGGAACTCCTAAGCCTCAGATATGACATGCACGACTAACAGGTGTTTCAAGGACGTCTCGGATTACCACTCAATTAAGTGGTGTTAATCTCACTCCCAGGGACGCGTGCATTTAAGTAAGATGATGAAGTGACATAAATAGTGACAGCTAGGAAACTTATATTGTCACTTACGATTGTCCATAGAACGACCTTCCCCAATATGTCGCAGAAAGCAATTAAGTCTCTTTGCTTTTATTGACGTCTACTCATGGTATTATTGTCCACTGAAACCTTCTGACATTGACACTTTCCTGCCAACTGCCTCGCGTTTCAATACCAGGAATACATGCAAAGTGTACATGAACGGGTAAAACACCACTCCAGATAAAACTGTCAGTGGGATTAAATCAAATGTCACCAATCAGTTAATATGAATACTCCAGGAAAAAAAAAGATCCATTTTACAATGCCTTCTGTCATTGACCATGAATTAAACTACACACTGAATCTCAATCGAAGCACTATCAGCAATTGCCAATTTGTGATCTTATTACAAATATAACCTTTCATAGAGATTCCGTTCAAAGAAGCGACGATTCCCCCGATGCTTGTTGATTGGCCATTGAGTCCCCATTATTCGTAGAACACACCACAACTAGCATTTGGTAAGAAAAACTAGGTGTGTGCGCAATGTTTAGATAAACAGGAGGGTGAATGAGTATCAACAAACAGGAAAAGGTGTCAAGTTAAATAAGCATTCAGTGTTTTCTTTCCCAATTGAGTCTACATGAAATTATCATATTCTACGATTAACATCACTTCATTTCGTGATTTCAGGTTTCGGCTTAGAGAAGTTTGAATTTTACTTTGGCACTGAAATTCGCAAAAAAAAAAAAAAAAAAAAAAAAATATATATATATATATATATATATATATATATATATATATATATATATATATATATATATATATATATAAAATTTGCTATGTATTTGCTGTAGGATGACATTCAGTTACGTGGCACATAATAATTAAGATACAACGCGATCAGAAAAAAACACTTTATCATAAATCTAAATAAACGATGTCTCTGAAATGCCACGGTCTTTTCACTTCATAAAAGTCATCACTTTTGTTCAGCGCATTAATTACCAATGCAATATTTATGACGGTAGGAAGCCATTCCAGCTAAGAAAGATGCATTTTCGTATTCAGCTCTCATCTGCTTAAGCGCCGCATAATTGACAGACAATGTCTTTACGGAAGAAACAAAATGAATACTTAGATGATATCAGGAAGTTTTCTCAGTGTGGCAATGATTGAACTGATGGACGGAAGTTAGGGTCTTTCCTGAAAGTGACGCCGAAAGCCAGATCGGCCATCGCCTTCGTTTTGCTATTTGACAGATCCACTGCACTGCAATTGGATGAATCATAAGCATTTTTGCAAGCTCAGACAAGCTCAAATGATTAAATGACAGAAAAATGGTAGTGGTACATGTATGAAGTTGAATAATGTGGACAGTTTTGCTCTGCAATCTTTATATCATAAAGGTTAAGTATAGGCTTGCTTGCATTGGTTCCAGCTATACATAGTCAAACCTCTTATAACACTTCATTTTGTAAACTGAGCTGATATGAGTTAAAACCATGCCATTCCTAATTTGATCTAAATAACGGAGGAGTAGAAGAAGGGATTATATTAAATGCTGCAATGTTAATAAGGAAAGGGTGATATTTCACACCGTTCGATGTACAATTAAAACTACAGTGTATATATTACCCGCAGCTATACTGTGTAGTGTCGCACAGTGTTTTAATTTAGAATGGACAAAAACAATGCAACGCACGTGAAATTAACAGGTAGCCGCCTCGACATTATGCAATGCACGCGTCCACGGTCACATGTCATATATCATGAAAATCGCCCCTTGATATAAAGATCACACCCGTGGAGTTCTGAGCCCTTGATCCCTGACTTAAGACTTCATGGTGAGACGAATTGGCCTTTGTCACATTGGATAAACTGTTTCCTGTTGACCGCCTGGTGTTTATGAGCCATACCGTACCATTAAAACAACGTTGTGCATTTGCAATAAGGTGCCTACGTGCACATTAAAAACTTGTGCTTTCTTGCAATATGTGCACACAGTTGATGAACCTATGCCAGAGAGAGAGAGAGAGAGAGAGAGAGAGCGCACAATGATCCACGTTCAATGCAAAATATTTTAACGAAGAAACGGGGATTATGAAACGACCAATATGAACACACACACACACACACACACACACACATACACACACACACATATATATATATATATATATATATATATATGCCTAACGTGATGGACAATGCAGGGCTGAAGCAACAATGCTCTATTTTTTATTCCACATTGCCATTTATTAAACGTCGGTAATATAAATTACGTAATAACTCATCGGCTTACTTTACTTTCATTTTCCTGTTACTATTTTCCTGTACTGACGTACTTTTTCGCGTGTCTAATTTCTTCTCGTTACTTTATGCTTCATCTTGAACAATCGCCTAAAGCCAATTTTCTTAATGTTCCATTTCCCATGAACTTCGTTATTTCTGTCACGCGTGACAGTTTACATGCACATTTGATATTTTTTTAGGCGTTTTGATCTTGGAACAATATCAACAGCAACACAGCATGTATAGCGTACGAGTCATATGAAACGACGTGACAGACGCAAAACGAAGCCATCGCCTAGATCGTGTGTGTCACGTACAACTGTACATGTAGCTCCAAGGTGGACTCTCTCTATCTCTCTCTTTCTCGATCTGTCACTTGGGAACAAAACTCTGACGAAAAAGAAACATATGCTTTGTCATTATACTCGAAAAGTGAGAGAGAGAGAGAGAGAGAGAGAGAGAG